TAAAAATTTTACCACTATAGGGGCTGGTGAGATGGTTAAAAGCACTGATTGCTCTTCCAGAGGAAATGGGTTCAATTCCCAGCACCCACAGGGTGGCTCACAACTATCCATAACTCCAGTCCTAGGGAATTCAGTGGTCATTCCTGACCTCTGAAGGCACCAGGCATGAATGTGATGTACAGACCCTAATGCAGAAAAACACTCATAAGTTTAAAATAAATAAAAATGTAAACTTCTCACTCATAAAGGAATTTTGTGCTGATTGGAAGCAGTCTCCCATCTCCTTTCTAGACCCCAACATCTTCACACCCACATTCTAGCTCTGTGTTTTGAACATTTGCTATACATTTCATTATAAAATTTCATAGTAAGTACATTTCTTAGCATGTTTCAAGGTTCATTCATATTATAGAATATAATAAGCAGTATTCTATTTTGTTTGAATAATAATTCTTTCCATGGATATGCCATATTTTGTTCCTGTGGCCCCCTTTTACTATTGTGTATTATATTGCTCCAGACAGTCAAGCATAGATTTTTGTGGTGGCAAATGCATCTGATTGGAATCACGGAATCACATGCACATTCTATGCATAGTATTCTTAGGCACTGCCAAACTTTTTATTTTTTTATTTTTTCATTTTCCTGATAGTATTCATTTCCCTGGGCGTTTGCGTGTGTGTGTGTGTGTGTGTGTGTGTGTGTGTGTGTGTGTGTGTGATTATTGATTATTTGTCCATCTTATTTACAGATACTCTGTTCAAGTCCTTTGCCTACTTTTTTTTTCCTCAGGGCCTTTTGCATGCTAAGCAAACACTGGACCACTGGACCACACTCCTAGCCTTTTTTTTTTTTTTCCAGACAGGGTCACACTAAGTTATTCAATCTATTAAGCATCTGGGATTGCAGGCTGTTGACACCAGCCCTGGCCTTTTGCCTATTTTTAAAACTGAATTGTCCTTTTTATATTGAGTTATAAGACTCAGATAGTAACATAAGACACAAGTCCTGTATGTACCTGAACCACTATTGAAGATGCCTTCCCTTCCCAACAAATTAGCCTGCTACTTTGGTTACAAGGTTTGAGATCTAAAGTTAGACATGCCAGTGCTGTTTTGGTCAGTTTTTCTGTCATTTCAGTTTGGAACATTTGCTCATATTTCCTGGGGTTTACTCTTTGGCCCATACCTTGCTTAGAAGTGAACTGCTCAGTTTCCATATGCCTTGTGTGGTTCCTAGGTGAGATACTGTTGTGTTTTGTTAACTTAGTGACCTTAGGAGTGGAAGACATGGCCATGTGATTTTCTTCATGGCAATTTAGAGTCTCTGGTAACAGCTTACATGCTTCATCTCGTTGAATGTTTCCTGCACACCTGCAAAAAAATGTGTGTGTGTGCTCTTGCTGTAAAATCTCATGAAGTCAGTTTGGTCAAACTGAGTAACAGTGCAGCTCAGCACCCTCACAGGTATTCTGTGCACTTACTTCATTAGTTATATATAAGAAAGGAGTTTGGGATTACACAGTAATGACTGTGTTTTTTCTTCCATTTCTCTCAGTTCTATCAGTTTTTACTCGGTGTGTTTGGTAACTCATTGTTGAGTTCATACATATTAGGACTTATGTATCTTCTTAGTAACTTAACACCTTTGTCACTTTAGACTGGCCCTTTTTATTTATGATATTACCTTAGTATTAAATTTTGCTTTATCCAAAATTAAGCATTACATAGTATGTTTCCCACATTCTTTTCATTTCAACAAGTGTACATATTTGGTGAGAATATGTCTTTTGTGACTTACAATGCAAGTAGGCCTTGTTTTATTAGCCCTTTTGATAGCTTTGCATTTTAATTGAGGTCCTTAATGACATTATTGACTCATTTTTTTATATCCTGTTTGTCTAATAGTGATTACTTTTATATATTCTACTGGCATTGTTCCGAATTTAAATTATATATATAACATAGGAATCCTGTGACAATATTTTTCCATTTATATTCCCCTTTTGTGCTTGGTGACTTTTATACATTCTGCTTCTATGTAAGCTAATAAACCTCATCATAATATGTTACTATTTTTAGTGAATAAGATTTTAGATAATGTAATAGAAACAAAAGTTATAGAGTTATCTTTCTAGTGTTCTTCTAAGTTACATTTGTATTGTCCCTCTCATTATGATAATTTATTCATTATAATATTTAATAATTAATACTTAAAATTTTATATTGTAGCACTTATAACAAATTATAAATATAAAATAATTCAATAAATTGTAATATAATTTATTTAAATATTTATTCATTTTTTCAGATTTTGAAAAATTAAGATTTAATGAATACAGAACAAGGTGACAGATTATTATTTAATATTTTTGTTTACCTGTATGCATGCATATGTGTCTCTGTGTGTATATACCACATGTGTGCAGGTCTTTAAGGAGATCAGAGAGGGTGTCAGATCCCATGGAGCCAGTTACAGGAAGTGTGAGCACCCAACATGGGTGTTGGAAACTGAACTGAGGTCCTCTGCAAGAGCAATACATGCTTTTAATCATTGACCTGTCTCCCCAGCCCCAGATTATTTTTTCATCACCTTAAAGATGTCATTTCATTGTCTTCTGAATTATGACTTCTAATGAAATGTAATCTCAGTCCTTCGTGCAATCTATATTATTTTCCCCTCTGGATGCTTGTTGGGTTTTCCTGTTTATCTTTGTTAAGTGAGCAACTTAACACAGTTAAGTTACATGAAATGGTTTCAGTCGTTATTGTTTTTAAAAGCCAGCCGGTTGTCCTGTCACAGTGTCATAGAAGACTGTTCTTTACAGCAAAAGCAGAGTAATACTGCTGAATCGGCTCCCTGAGTCCCAGGGTCCACAGCACTGTATGCTCTCACTTAGCTCTTAAATGTCCCTAAAGGCACGTATGCTACAGGCTTGGTCCCCAGCTGATAGTGCCATTGCGCAGAGGTGAACCCTTTAGGAGGTGGGGCAATAGGAAGAAGGAAGTTACGTCACTAGGAGTATGTGTTTGTGAGGGTGTACTGTTCCCTTCCTGTCTGCCTCTGTTTCCTGGCTACCATGGTGTCAACAGCGTCTTCTGCCAGTCATGCCCCATCATGATGTGCTTCCATGTCACAGGACCAAACCTGACAGGTCAAGTGACCATGGGCAGAAACCTTAGCAACCATAAGTCAAAATCTCTTTTTTTTTTTCTCCTTATAAGTGATTTATCTGGGGTACTCTGTCATAGCATAAAAGATGACTAATTCAGAGTGTGTGCTGAGGACCATGAACACAGTAGAGTACACTACAGGAGAGAACCCCAGTGGTAGGAGGTATTAATCTTACAACTATTGGAAGCCTGTCCAACCCTCTCTTCGGGTAGCAAAGGTTGACATTAGAGACTATCATCAACACAGGAACACATTTTCTTATGTTCTACTCAGTACTTTGTTGAACAACTATTTTGCTGAGATTCCTTATCCTTTTATCCATTATATTCTTTCCCCCTCAAGGATCTTGATGAAGTTGATCATAGTTTTGATTTTTTTTTAATTCCTTAATTCTTAAATCCAAAATGTGCATTCACTCAAGAGTCCCATAGATTTTAAAGGAGCTTGTAGGTATATGCTGGCTTCCCATAGGTGGTTCCTCTCTATTCTCAGAGAAAAAAGTGTGTTCCCACCATCACCACCATCACCCTACTTACTCAGAGAGAGAAAGACAGAGACAGACAGAGAGAGAGAGAGCATGCTTATATCAACTAGTGCTTATCTGCCAGGGAGATTACAGCTTTGGATGTGCACAGTCCCCTCTCTCATCCCATAGTGCCCAACCACCGTCTGGCATACTCATAGAAGATACCCAAGAAATGGTTCAGAGCCCGTCAGAATTGATAACTTTGCATCAGGCGTGTCTCAAAAAAGCAAAGCAGCTGTCAGAAGCGTGGTCTTTAGGTCCCAAGTGTCTCTCTTTCTGAGTACTTAGTGACATTAGTTCCTGATTCCTGCCTTGAAGGTTGTGGGAACTAGATGTGTTAAGACACATACTTTATAACCTGAATCCAGTGCTCCATACACATTGGCTGTTGCTGTCGCTTAAAACACGCTGTTTGGCAACTGGTTTTTCCAAGTTGTCTCTAGGACAGCTAAAATGTCACTGGGTGCACAAAAAACAGGGAGTCACTTCATTCAAAATCCCACTCTGCTTTGATACACTGCTCAGATGTAGCCCATCTGAGCTCAGTATCCAAATGAGTTCCCTAGTAATGGGAGCAGGGACTGTCTCTGACATGAACTCAGTGGCTGGCTCATTGACGACCTCCCCCTGAGGGGGCAGCAGCCATGCCAAGCCACAGAGGAGGACAATGCAGCCAGTCCTGATGAGACTTGATAAACTAGGGTCAGATGGAAGGGGAGGAGGACCTCCCCTATCAGTAGACTTTAGAGGGCCTTGGGAGGAAATGGGGAAGGGAGCTACAGCTGAGATACAAAGTGAATAAACTGTAATTAATGTAAAAAATAAATTTAAAAATGTTTAAATAAAGAGCCCAGAAGCACAACAACAAATCCCACGCTATTACATATAGTAAGGCGCCAGAGAGGGAAGTATTAACAATACAGAACTTCTTGCAAAGTGCTAGTCTATATTTAAGGATAAGTTTGGAAAAAAAATGTCTTTGCCTTTCAAGTCACAGCTGTTGGCCAGCATGCCGACAATCCAAACCAGTTAGCAAAAGTTCACAGTGGGTCAACAGTTGCAAGCAGGGGAAGTTCTGAGGTCCAATAATCCATCCTTTGCCTATGTATACTCAATAAGTAAGAAATAATGCTCAATTATTGTCCCACCGCAGGCGTGCAGGTTATGTGAGTCTAGCCAGTTTCCGGTTTATGCGCTTAACAAAATCAACCAGATGCGCGCAGGTTGCGCCCGGCCCATCGCCGCCGCCCAGCCCTGCGCCACGGTCAGACCAGTAGGACGGCTTCGCTCCAGCCCGGCCCGCCCCGACCCGCCGATCACCGCTCTCCCGGAAACCCGGTTCCGCGCTGCGCCTTCCCGCAGCCCTCGCGGCCCGGGCCGGCGCCTGGGCGCGGGGCTAAGGGGGCGCCCGGGCAGCAGGAGCCCAGCGGGACGTGGATAAAGGCACGTGCAAAGGACGGGACTGCAGTGGCAAGGATTCGCTATGTCCTCCTCCTAATGGTGTCTCCACTGTGGCTGCTTGGTGCTCTGGTCAAAACCAGCAGGTGAGTGAGTACCTGAGGAGAGCTGCTCTGGGGCCATGACATCAAGGGCAAGAGGTCTGAGCTGGGGAGAAGCTGCAGGAGGCTGGAGAGCTAGTAGGGACCCCAAGAATAAGGTCTAACTGAAGAGAAGGTTTGGTTGCACCCCACTGATCAGTCCCGGTATGGTGGTCCTCTAGCTAAGGTAGGGTCGAAGTCGTCAGCAAAGCAGGAGCCTTTAAAGCTCTGGAAGGCTTTGCCTTAAATCTTCCCAATGTTCTCTGGTACCTGTAATATCTGGGGTACATCCTGGTGATATATTTGGTGGGAGCTTAGGGGCTTCCCTAGGAAGGCACTGGCATCTTGGAGACTAGGGCATCTCTTTCCCACATGATTGACACAGGCACTTCTCCTGAGCTCTTCTTGGTATGTCCAGAAAACAGCAGTCATTCTTGGGAATGCAAACATCATCCATTCAGCTGATAAGACATCTTCCTCTCATCTTTGGGTTCCAGGATTCAGGCTCATTTTTCCTTTCAGTAGAATGATGGTGGAACCAGGGATGTGAGTTATGCTGGGGTTTTCCAGGGTACAGAACGTCGTGTGTTGCATCCAACAGACCTCTGAATCCATGGCCTGTGTGTCTCGCTCATGAGGCCAGTATCAATGTCAAGTGCTGGACATCTCCAGTCTCATGTGCCCGTAAACCTCATTAACCCAGCCCCTTCCCCAAGCCCAGAGCTGACTGGATATCATTAGCATATAATCGGATGCCTATAATTCCTCTACATGAGAAACACCTCAACATCAAGTTTAGACAGCTTGGAGTGCTGTGGTTCATTTTCTTCCCAACATAGTGTTTTCTGTCTGTGGAGGGTGATGGGAAAAGCCATTCCTTCATTCATTTCTTCAACAGATACTTGCTAAACAGCAACTGCTGCCAGGTATAGAGGCACCGTGAACACATTGCTCTCCCTTAGATATAGTTTACTGGAGAAAAGAGGCAAGCAGATGAATTATGTTATCTCAGAGTGATGAATGCTATAAAACAAAACAGTGTGAGGAGAGGTATGATGGGAAAGTGAGAGAAGCTATCCCTTGGCCAGAAAGGGAAGCAGCAGACATCCTGAGTGAGCTAGGAAGTAGTGCCTTCTTCAAGGCCTACAAGTCTGGCTGCACAGAACACTGATGGAGAGTTACAAACTGCTTATGAGGCCTCAGTGAGCAGTGCATGAATGAGCTGGGAGGAGCCCTCCCTCAAGTCCCAAGAGCATTTCTTGTTGGGATATTTAAATCTAATATAGAGCTGTATCTTCCCAGGAGACAGGTTTTGTTGTCTTATTTGTTCATCCATTTAACAAATATTTACACAACTATCTGTATCTTCTGGTTTTAAAAACTCATTAATGAACAAAATAGTTATTTTCTTTTTTTAAGATTTATTTATTTATTATGTATACAGTGTTCTGTCTGCATGTACACCTGCTCGCCAGAAAATGGCATCCAATCTATTATAGATGGTTGTGAGCCACCAAGTTGTTGCTGGGAATTGAACTCAGGACCTCTGGAAGAGCAGCCAGTGCTCTTAACCTCTGAGCCATCTCTCCAGCCCAGTAGTTATTTTCTTAATAGATGTTCTTTTCTGTTGGAAAGAAGTGAGTAATAAACTGTGTATTTATGAGAGTCTTGCTGTGTGCTGTGTTACACCAGCTAGCCTTGAATTCTTGGTCCTCCTGCCTCAGACTCCCCAGGGTACAGGAGCTCCTATGTTTACCAGAGTGGTCAGTGCAGACTGAATAGAAGAGGTTCAATTTGGCCAGGGACTTGAATGAAGACAGGACATAGCCATGTGACTGCCCAGAAGATTCCCACCAATGGAATAGTGAGTGAAAAGGCATAGAGATATGAGCAAGTTGTGAGTTCATTGACCATGTGGGAAGAGAGGAAAGAGGCCAGGGTAGTCCTGAGGCAGACAGGAACCAGAGACACTTAGAAAAGCAGGCAGTACTTTTCCTAGCTGCCTCTAGGAAGGTTTAAAAACTCTGGATAAAACTCCAGGTCTATACTAAGCAGGGTGAGTGCCTGTACTTTTGTCCCCACTGACAAAAACAAGGTAAGGAAAAGGCTATTTTGGCTCATAGTTTGAAGGTAGAGGACATTATGGTGAGAAAGGCATAGTGGTAGGAGCCTGAGGTAGCAGACCACACTGTGTCTGAAGTCAGGAAGCAGGGAGAGATGACAGTGATGGTACACACCTTTGATCCCAGCTCTCAGGTGGCAGCCAAGTTCAGCCTGGTCTACAAAGTGAGGTCCAGAAAAGCCAGGGCTACCCAAAGAAACCCTGTCTCAAAAAACAGGTAGGTAGATAGATAGATAGATAGATAGATAGATAGATAGATAGATAGATAG